AAGAGGGAAGGGTGTGATTATGTATTAACATCGGAAAACTGAAGCGCTATACTCACAGTTGTCATCAAGCACAAAGACGAGGGTCGCTCAGGCCTTGCAAAGCTCACTGCAATCCTTGTTGCGCGCGACCCACCGTCCGAAGTTCTTGTACTCATTCATGTGGGTGGTGCTCGTGCAAGGCCACAGCGACTTGTTGCATGCTTTGTCTTCCACATCAACGTTCTGCTGCGGCTTTGCCTGCTGCAGTGCAGTAAGCGAAGCAGCCGGCGTTGCCACAGGAGGTTGTGACACTGCCGATGGCGCTGGCGCTTTGGCAGGAGCTTGCGTACTTGGGAGCGCAGGTGGACCTTGAGAGGCCGCTGGTGGAACTGGCAGCGCAGAAACCGTTGGCACAGGCAGGGTCGGTGGGTTCAACGCCATTGATGGCGCCACTGCTGCTGTGGGCGCCACTGCGGGCGCAACTGGTGTGGGCGCTGGTGTGAGCCCTGGTAGCGTGGGCGCCGTTGGTGCGGCGCAGGCTGGTGCTGGTGCGGGCAGCGCTGGTGCGAGCACTGCTGGTGCGAGCCCTGCTGCTGCGGGCACCGGTGGTGTCAGCCCTGCTGCTGCGGGCACCGGTGTGGGTGCCTCTGGCGCGCACCGCTGGTGCGATCTCTGCTGCTGCTACCACTGCTGGCGCGAGGCCTGCTGCTGCGGGGACCGGTGGTGTGCACACGGCTGCCTGTGAGCCCTGCTGCTGCGGGCACCGGTGCTATGAGTGCCTCCTCGCGGGTGCCACTGCAGTGGGTGGTGGCGCTGCCACTGCAACTGCTGGCATGGGCACTGCTCCCGCCGGTGCGGTATGCGCCTCTGGCAGTCTGAGTTCAGCTGTGGCTGCACACGTTGTGGGTGCCGTTGACAGCGGCATCGATCCACTCGAAGGGGCTTAACGGGGGCGTCGATCCACCAGGCAGCTCCTGCACGTGTGCATTGATTGGGAGGGTACGCAATGTCCACAGCTTGGGGGTTCAGAAGGTGGTCAATTGCACGGCGAGCGTTAT